GCACCACGCATCGGCACCACGCATCAGCACCACGCATCGGCACCACGCAGGGCACCACGCATCAGTACCACGCAGGGCACCACGCATCGGTACCATGCAGGGCACCACGCAGGGCAGGGTCTCAGCTGTGAGGCTCAAACTGGCTCCAGGGCTCCCAGGGTGTGGGCACAGGAGGCTCTTTAGCTGGGAGCGGAGGAGCGCGGGCAGGAAAGACAGATGGGCCTTCCCAGAGGCAGGGAGGGAGGGCTCTGTGTTAGTGAGGAACAGCAGGGGTCAGGATGCCTCCCGCTGTGGCCCGAAGCAGCTGCTCACTGGGGACAGAGGGAGAGGCTGGCAATTGTGCTACAGACAGTGGGGTCCACACAGCATCTGTGGGCTCTGGGAGCGTTCACTGGAGCGCTCACTCGGTGGGCAGAGCAATCTAGATAGATACGGATCTGTAGTTCATTAAGTAAAATACATCCGAGAAGTCAATAGCTTTGTTTTTCTGGCGGCTGGTTCTGATTGTGGCTCTACCTGGGGTCAGGCTTGTAGGATCGGACCTGTTTGCCGAAGGGGAGGGGAGTGGGAAACGGCACTAAATCGCCCAGACCCCCACCCAGGGTCCCTGGTCATCAGGTCTGGGGAGGGAGCTGAAGCTGAGGACTTGCATTCCTGGGTGGGTTGGTGGGGTGAGACCGCTCTGTGAGGACCCCAGCCTGCGGGGAACACAGCGAGGGGGGAGGGGCGAGCAAAGGGGCCCATACTCACGGCGCTCCCCACGCAGAAGGCCGCAGGCCAAATGTCCGTCCTATTCTCGGGGGAGACGTTCTGAACGAAATCAGGGAAGCCTAACCACACCGCCGACCGGACCACGATACCTAAGCGAGAAGCAGATGCGAGAATGAGACCATCCTTTGTACCTGGTCCTAATTCCGGTCTAAAGCTGAGTTGTCGCTCTGTAAAAATGATGGATGGACGGATGCACGGACGGACGGACGGACGGACGGACGGACGGACGGGTGGATGGGTGGGTGGATGGATGGG